GAGAGATGTAGAGAGACGAGAGAAACTGAGAAAGGGTTGGGAAGAAAATGATAAATTAAGGTTTTAAATTTTTAATAATTATAATTATAAAATTTAATTACCACCTGAATTTTGAAATGTAAACTTTATCACCTTATTTTTGATATGTAATTTTAAAAAGAAGGATTTTAGGTAATTTTCTCTTGTTGTTTCTCTGCCCAAACTAGTCTGACCATTACAGCTCTAACCTAACCCAACGGAGCCAGAGTAAATAGAGACTAAAGTTACACAACAACCATTTTTTAATTAGAATTTACCCATTAATGCATATATATTACTCTAATAAGCTGACAGATTGATATTATAATTAATATATTCTGATCCGAAAGCTAAAGAAGCTTCCTTACTGCTTTAATACATGAGTAAGACAAGACACAACCAAAAGATTCCAATTGTAAGATGTCAACCAAAATTAAAAACATTTTCTCTTTGCATTAAATAGTAATGCTATTCAAGGCCTCTCTCTTCCAGCAACCATATGCCAGATGCCAAACCAAACTTTTAAATTTTTATCTTAAAACAGTAAAGTACTGGAGATAGCATCTCTCTATCTGTCAGCTTGGCTTGAGATCCATGTTAAGTGTAAATTTTAAAGAACAGTTTACTATTTGGTTAGATTTTTAGTAAATTTTGATAGAAGAAAATGAAATATGTGACACTACTTGATAGGACCTTTTTAGTTTAAGGTCTGATTTTTTTGCTTGGTGGCCCTATCATTTATTATTATTATTATTATTATTTTAAAGTCCCATGCAAGATAAGGTTTGGTCTCCATCCGAAGGTCTTGACGCGGTTAAGGAGTTCTTAGTACAAATTACCAAATATGTCATAATATCATGTTTGGTATGCAATACTATAAAAAAAAAAGTACTGGATTTTATTAATTAACTTTTATTCTTTTAGAGTTTTGTCCAATGAATTTTGTAATTTTGTATTGTCTAATTTAATGTACTAAAAATGACGGCGAAGTATATAAAGAAGAAAAGGATGATGAGGAATCGAAAGGGTAACAACTATAACATCTTGATTTGCATTCATCCTCAAACTAAGATAGTTTGAGGTTATACAAGATTTGTAAATTTCAAAGTTGGATCACTGACAATTTACAAGCAGTACAAGTACAATACAAGAATAATGAACTCAATTCAACCTTAAACCACAAATGAAAGATGAAAACAATCGATTCATCAATCCTTTTAAGGACAAATTTGGTATGCGATACTAGACAGATCTAGACACTAAGCTTTGTTTTTTTTTTTTTAGAGTCTATTACTGTCGAGTTCACCTTATAAGAAAAGTATTACCTTACCCAGATCCACGGCCTACAGTGGACAGCAAAGCTTTCTTAATCCTCCCACCAGTATACCTTCTGATGCCAAAACACAACCTTGAAGGTCCGCCTACTTCTTCACGACGATGATCATGATCATGATCAGAAGACGACCCCCAGCTTGAAAAGCGCCTTCTCTGATGGCCTCGGGAAGGCGTCATGGGATCAGAAAACGAAGAAAGTGAAGAGGACGTGGAAAATGATAAAGATGACAAAGAATGGGACACTGAAGATGAAGAAGGAGATGAGCCCACATGAACACTTTTCTTGAAACTCATCCTAGTGAGCAAATTGTACAGAATCTTGGATCTTGAGGGCTTATTCAAGGACTTATTGACATTTTTATTGGAATAGTAAGAGGGAGGGGGAGTAAGAGGTGGAAGTGAATTGTCTGAAAAAGTGTGTTTTGGGGTTCCAGGAATAGTTTCCCACATGAAGGGCACTGCACTAGACACATCACCATAGTAAACTCTAAAGGAAGGGTTGGATTTTGAGGTTTCTTTAGAGAAAAGCCTGGACAAGAACTTCTCATCATCATGCTTAATTCTGAATGATTTCTGCTGGAAATTTTGACTACTGGTCAGCATCTTGATCAGCTTGAGGAGACTAAGAAAACACTGAATATTGCTCTACGGAGAGAGAGGAGAGAGTTTTGTGTCAAATGGGATATGCGTTGGATTTATAAAATATTTATATTGACGCAAGGTCTTGTTTGACAAATTGCTAAATTTTCCGATAGGTTCGGAAAATCGAAATCGTTCTAAGATTTCAATGATTCACAAATTCGTGGTCACCTAAATTGATGTTGTTATAAAATGATAATAAATAACATTATTTTTTTACGTAGCATTTTTCGAAACAAAAGAAACATTTTACTATTTCTTTTTATATTTTAGTTAAATTAGAAAATTCTGAGGAAGCCTTAGCAAAACATTTTTTAAGAAACTATATGTTTATTAGGAATTCCAAACAGATATGCTCTTTGTTGCTAAAACTAAAGATTAACTCAATTGCGTGTTTCAACTAAATATTAAATTAATGGTATCTTTATTATATTATAAAATTTCGACTAGGATTAGAGTTTAAATTAAAGTGAAAAATAGCCTATTTAAAACTTAAAATTGAATTAATAAATATAAATTACAAAACAACGTTTTGTCATGTCGCGTTCGTTTCCATGCCAGTTAAATTCACAATCTCAAGTACAACTCAACACAATACTTGTGTGCTTTCAGTGAGAGACACTTGCCAGATAAACACCAGAGCAGCATTTTGACCATTTACTATTCAACTTTGTTATTAACTGTCTGGGGAAGTTAAGGTCTATAATACTACTACTATTTAGTATGGTGCATGCATATTCGTTTTTATTTGTGTCCCTTGAGTAAATTAAAGGGTAAAATGCTGTACAAACTGCCAATTTGCCCTTCTTCATTTGTCATCTTATACTTTTCTAACCAAAATAATATCAATTTCTAATAGAAACTTCAATGACTTCTCGATATTAGTAGGTTGAAAGAAATTGTATTGTAAAATAATTGTTAGAGATCAGTCTAGAACTCAATAAGCATTATATTTAAAATGCTATCGAACTTTAAGTTTGTGGATAAAATTCATTAAATTTTTTTTTTTGTTTTCCTCCTAGAAGTCAAAACGTGCGTAAAGATCAATGATCTAGAGAGCCAATTGATCGACTCAACAAGGACTATACTGAAAACATCATACATACAGTTTGATTTTTCTTATTTTCATTTTTTTTTTTTTTGACAAGAGGATCCGGTCGTTTTATACCTTAAAAATTGTGCATCCTTATAGATAAATGACTAAAATAATACCATATATAAAACTGATAATCTCCATTTATGTAATATATTTCGTCGATGAAAAGGCACCCACGTGCATTTTCCTGGAATGAAAAGGCACCCACGTGCATTAATGTCCATCACTTGTGAGGTATTCAGTAAATATATATTTATGTAGGTTAAGTAGGGCCGTGAACAGTGATCATATAGGTTTCTATTTTAATGTTTTATGGGGGAATGATATTAATTTCTGAACAACCGTAGCTGTGGGATATAAGAACATTTGTTATAATTTATTCTTATGGTCCTTAGTGCTGGATTGGATCTGAAATTATTATGATCAACTGATCTAGTTGTGGTCCTTTTGACAAGGACTTCTTCTTAAAAAAAAAAAAAAAATCCATTTAGTATTATTGCAATGTATCCTATAATTTAAGTAAATCTTAAAACTTGTTTGATTTGAGAATAAGAATCCAAACAACATAAGAAGGCTGTGAGAATTGTGGTTCTCCTATCCTTATTTGGACTAGTGCTATTTGTGTCATTTGCATTGTTTGCATTATATTTGGCCCAATTGCTTAGGTGTCATCCGCCTATTGGTAGCTTGGTTGTNCTAACTCTATTTGGACTAGTGCTATTTGTGTCATTTGCATTATTTTGCCCAGCTGCTTAGGTGTTGCTTGCCTATTGGTAGCTTGGTTGTTACATGGATTGTGCTAGTTTGGTTTTATTAGGACCATCTGATGAGATGGACAGTTGAGATCTATTCTTGGTTGAGATATTTCCTTTGTTTTGACTCTTGGTCTTCATTAGGTTTTCTCTCACTTTATCTCTTGTCTTTGCTCTCTGTTCGTTGGTTCTGCTCCTTGTGTGTAGAGTTTCTTCTCTCTTTTCTTGGGTGGTTCCTAGGGGTTTTCTTCTAGTGATTTAGGGGGTTAATCTAGGATATGATCAGGCCTAAAATAGTGGTTGATTCGGTGTTGGTTTCCTTCCTAAATCTGTTACTAGAACTCTGTTAAAAATTGGGAGATCGTTTTAGATTGATGATCAGAAATCGAACCCATGGTTTCTCTGATGACACCTCTCTCTGGATGGCAGTTTGCGTGACATGGATGGGGCTGTTCTTGAGCCTGATGATTCTACCATAAAGGGAAGAAGCTTTCTGGTCCTTTTACAGTAAAACTGTAGTTCTATGATTTCTTTATGCTTTCGGTTTCTTTATGCTTATATTGTGAGCATTGTAAATGTTACTATTGATGTGACTTATGCTGTTGAACTCGGTAAATTCCTAACAAATTGGTATCAGAGCCTAGCTTCGGTCTAGGGCTTGATTGTTCTTCACTGATTTAGGTTCTTCGTTTCTGGTTTAGTGGTATATCTGTATAGACCTTCAA